GGTCGCCGCGCTGGCCCTCGTCGCCTACGGGCGCCGCCGGTGCAAGGGCAGGGGGTACCAGGCGCTGGGGGACGGCGAGGGGCGCCGTGACAGCGGCGTCACCGGGGACGGGCCCCAGGAGGAGGCGGCCGCGTGAGCGCGCGCCCGCGTATATCTATTTGCATAGATATACAGGCACACGCCGAGAGGCACGGAGCGGCTTTATTTCGCGGCCGGCGACTACTTGCATAGGCGACACAGCATTAAAAAACATGTATGGTAATAAAAAAAAAAAAAGGTTATCAAAAAGTAAGGCTGCCCCGTGGCGAAGGCGTCGGGGCGGCAGCCGGGGCTGGGGCCCCTTGCCCGCGCTCCCGCCCCGCTGCTGGGCTCGCCAGCGCTTTGCAACGCTCCAGCGCTGCTGCCTTGGCCGTGGGCACGGGCGATGCAGCGGCGGCCGCCTGCACTGCCCCAAATCGGGGGGTTCCCTGGGGGAAAACGGATTTTCTGCTGCTTTTTGCTGTTTTGCCTCCCCCGCGCGAGGTAGAAGAGCCCCCCGAGGCGCCGCCAGCGCAGCCACACAGACGGACAGAGACGAGGGACGGGACGGGCGGCACAGAGACAGCGARCGTCCCCCCGCCAGCCGTTTATTGTCCCCTCCGGCGGGGCGGCACCGCGCGCACGGGGACGGGCAGCGGGCCAAGGACRGACGACGACGATGACGACGACGACACAACGTTTTACAGCAGGACGTGGCCTCCCCGCGCGCCCCCCGCCCTCCTCCTCGCTGCCCGCGGCGGCCCCGGCCAGGACACGGCGGGACAAATTCAACATGGAAAGGGGAAAAAACCCGGAGGGGACAAATCCAGAGGGGGTGACCTCGAAGGGAACGACTGGGGATGAGAGGGGGGCTGCAGGCTCTGCCTTCCCCCCCGGCACGTGGGCGGCCCTGGGGGCCAGGATGCACCGTGGGGCACGGGGGGGACAGGGCCCGAGGGCAGCGGGGCAGGGGGCTCAGCGCCAGGCTCGGGCCCCGGCGCCGCCACCCCTATAGACGTGTACACAACAGACCCCCAAAGATGAGGTATATAAAACGCAAGGCGGGGAGGCCCCCGTACGAACGGTTCAGAGAACCCACTGCGGGACGGGCGGCACGCGGGGCACCCGTGGGCACCCGCCGCCACCRCCGACGTCTTGCGCCGGCCCCTGCGCGACACGGGGACGCGGCGGCCCCACAGGGCACAGCTGGAGACACGGCCACACGGGGCAGGGGCTGGGCACGGGCACACACGGGCCGCGACGGACGGACAGACGGACAGGGCACCCCCCGCTCCATGGACACAGGAGACCAGCCGGGAGGCGCCGGACAGGACGAACGAACCAACGAACAGACGAGTGCGGGACGAGTCCGGGCCACGGCGAGGGGGCGTYGAGTCCCATGGGAGCTGAGGAGCAGAGCCGGAGAGAGGGCCGGGGCCGGGCCGGCACGTCCTGGCGCTGGGGAGGGACGGGAAGGGCTGGCCCGGCCCCGGCGCCTCTCCGGCTCCTGCCACGACAGCGGTGGGCGACGGGACACGGCGGCCCCAAGCTGGCTCGAATCCTCCCGGCTCCTGCGGCGCTGACAGAGCGGCCCTCACAAGGCCGGATCCCACGGRGCCGCGCGGCTCCCTCGCTGCCACCACAGAGGCCGCTTCCAGACTTCACTCGCCCTCCCGGAGCTCAGGGCCAAGCCAAACTCCAGGGCAGGGAAGGCGCTGTCCAAAAGGACCTTCTCCCAGTCCCAGCATGGGGCTGCTCCCACTGACTGAGCACCAGGGACGGGAGCTCTCCAGCTCCTCCACACTAAGCTCCAGCCAGGCTTCTCGGACACCTTTGTCCTTGGAGTATCAGGGCAGGAGAGGAGCAGAGAGCCAGGGCACGGGGAGGCAGAGGCAGGTACCTGGGGCCGATGGACAGCAGCAGCTCGGCCCCTTCCTCGCCTCCCCAGCGCAGTCTCAGTCCTTGTCCTGGGCCAAGCTCTCCTCGGTGATGCCCTGCGCCGCGAGCTCGGCCAGCACGTTGTCCAGGTAGTTGCCGTCGGGGTAGCCGTGGCCCGTGAGGTTGGAGCCGAACTCCGTCTTGTGGTGGATCTCGTTCCAGATCACCGTGTCCGACTCGCCYGTGGTGCTCGAGGTCCCGATGGCRAAGATGAGGCGCCGGTCCCAGGCCACCAGCAGCAGCTTCAGTACCTGGGGGACGGAGACGGGACAGGCCGCAGAGTCAACGTGTGCTGAGCACAAGGAGCCCAGCGCCCACGGGAGGCCAGGCCCAGGGGGCTCCTATGGAATCCCAAGGCACCCCAKGCTGCGCACGAACCACCTGAAGCTCCAGCCTCTGCATCCCAGCGCAGAGGCAGGGGAGGGACAAGGGRGAAGCAGTGAGCACGGAATGGGGACCGGGCGGGTGAGGAAGGATCAGGATGGTGTTTCGGACACCAGCACGGGTTCCCAGAGGGGATGATGGTCCCTCACCGAAAAGCCAGGGGCAGAGGCACACGGTAACCTCAGGCCTCCTGCAATCCAAGCCGCAGAGGCGCGAGGCACGAAGCGGCACCCACACAAGCCCAGGGCGCTTCTCCCTGTCCCCCCACGTCATCTGCTCTATCCCTTCAACACCCCCTCGAACGTGTCTCCGACAGCCCGGGAGCCCCTCTCACCTTCCTGCCCTTCTCACTGTCCGGCAGGTAGCAGTGCCGCGGGAAGCCGCGGGCCGTGAAGTTTTTCCCAGGGTTCGGGTGCTCCGGTCCCTGCAGCACGCGAAGCGGGAGAGAAACTAAGAGCTCCGGAGTGCAGCAATGCTGCCCGTGCCAAGCCAGGCGCCCGGCTCGCGCCCGGCACGCGGCTCGCGCTGCCCCGCGCTCGCTGCCCGCCGCGCACCTGCACGCCCGGCGGGATGTTGTAGATGATGCGGATGGTTTTGCAGTCGGCGTGGCCGGGCAGCGCGTGCGGGATGAGGTGATACTCCATCTTCCCGGGCGGCTGCGTGCCCGTCTTCACCCCGTAGATGGTTTTGCAGGTCGGGCACTGCAGGCTCCCGTCCTGCGGCGGGCGGGGAGGAAAGAAAAGAGGGGAAAAGGTGGAATCAGGAGCGCCCGGCATCGCCCCAGCCCGGCACGTCCCTGAGCAGGGCTGAGCGTCGCTCCCATTACCAAAACACGTTCATTTCCAACCGGCGCAGCAAGCAGCGGGCAGCGCTGGCAGCAGCACTGCTGCAAACCGGCTTTAACCAAACACCCGAGGTTCGCGTTTCTCTTCCTGATCCATCCCATCACTTTCCTCACAGTTTCTATTTGTTTTCCTTTTTGCAAATAGAGGAAAACATTTCCCTTTTTTTTTTTTTTTT